CAAATACTGTCTAGACCATCCCTGATAGACATTTATCTAACCTACTCTTAAATATCTCCACAGATGGAGATTCCACAACCTCCCTGGGCAATTTATTCCAGTGTTTGGCTACCCTGACAGTTAGGAACTTTTTCCTAATGTCTAACCTAAACCTCTCTTGCTGCAGTTTAAGCCCATTGCTTCTTGTTCTATCCCCATAGGCCAAGATGAACAAGTTTTCTCCCTCCTCCTTATGGCACCCTTTTAGATATCTGAAAACTGCTATCCCCCTCGATCTTCTCTTTTCTAAACTAAACAAACCTAATTCCTTCAGCCTTCCCTCATAGGTCATGTTCTCTAGACCTTTAATCATTCTTGTTGCTCTTCTCTGGACCCTCTCCAATTTCTCCACATCTTTCTTGAAATGCGGTGCCCAGAACTGAACACAATATTCCAATTGAGGACTAACCAGAGCAGAGTAGAGCGTAAGAATGACTTCTCGTGTCTTGCTCACAACACACCTGTTAATACATCCCAGAATCATGTTTGCTTTCTTTGCATTGACTCATATTTAGCTTGTGGTCCACTATAATTCCTAGATCCCTTTCTGCCGTACTCCTTCCCAGACCGTCGCTTCCCATTCTGTATGTGTGGAACTGATTGTTCCTTCCTAAGTGGAGCACTTTGCATTTGTCTTTATTAAACTTCATCCTATTTACCTCAAACCATTTCTCCAATTTGTCCAGGTCATTTTGAATTATGACCCTATCCTCCAGGTTAGTCGCAACCCTCCCAGCTTGGTATCATCTGCAAACTTAATAAGCGTACTTTCTATACTAATATCTAAATCATTGATGAAGATATTGAACAGAGCCGGTACCAAAACAGTCCCATGCGGAACCCCACTTGTTATGCCTTTCCAGCAGGATTGTGAACCATTAATAACTACTCTCTGAGTATGGTTATCCAGCCAGTTATGCACCCACCTTATAGTAGCCCCATCTAAGTTGTATTTGCCTAGTTTATTGATAAGAATATCATGCGAGACCATATCAAACACCTTACTAAAGTCTAGGTATACCACATCCACCACTTCTCCCTTATCCACAAGACTCATTATCCTATTAAAGAAAGCTGATTTCCTTAATTATTTGCTCTATTATCTTCCCTGGCACAGAAGTGAAACTAACTGGTCTGTAGTTTCCTGGGTTGTTCTTATTTTCCTTTTTATAAACGGGCACTATATTTGCCCTTTTCCAGTTCTCTGGAATCTCTCCTGTCTCCCATGATATTCCAAAGATGATAGTTAGAGGCTCAGATACTTCCTCTATCAGCTCCTTGAGTATTCTAGGATGCATTTCATCAGGCCCTGGTGACTTGCAGGCATCTAACTTTTCTAGGTGATTTTTAACTTGTTCTTTTTTTATTTTACCTTCTAAAACTACCCCCTTCCCACTAGCATTCACTATGTTAGGCATTCCTTCTGACTTCTCGGTGAAGACTGAAACAAAGAAGTCATTGAGCATCTCTGCCATTTCCAAGTTTCCTGTTACTGTTTCTCCCTCCTCACTGACCAGTGGGCCTACCTTCTCCATGGTCTTCCTCTTGCTTCTAATGTATTTATAAAATGTCTTCTTGTTTCCCTTTATTCCGGTAGCTAGTTTGAGCTCATTCTGTGCCTTTGCCTTTCTAATCTTGCCCCTGTGTTCCTGTGCTGTTTATCCTTTGTAACTTGTCCTACTTTCCATTGTTTGTATGACTCCTTTTTTATTTTTAGATCATGCAAGATCCCGTGGTTAAGCCAAGGCGGTCTTTTGCCGTATTTTCTATTTTTCCGACACATCGGAACATACTTAATTTTTCAATCAAAAAAGGAAAGTTTGTAGAGAACATTTCTGTGCCTGCTTGTTGAAAATCTGATGAATTGTCATTGAGAATACGGTCTTGACTAATTGCCAGCACCGCCCTTTTAGGCAGAGTTATTGGTTCATTACAAAAGCACAACGCTAACACACCCCAATCACACAAGGATCTGCCAAAAAACTTTCCTATAGAGAAACACCATTACATTCCTCATCTTTCTTCACATATGTTGGTTAGTTCACTTCATTCCTGAAATTAATGCCTGAAATTCAATCTATCAAAGGGTTTGGTTTTACCAGTTCGTTGGGCCAACACCCGACATCCTTTTGAATATCTTAGTAAACTTGATGAGTTTTATTCCTGTTTAAGTTTAAAAGTGATTTCTTACCTGAATAGCAGACTCCGGGACAGCCATTACATGCTGTACAGATATTAGGGCTGAGCTGCACCTTCTCTTGTTACCGATCCCTTTTATGGCTATTGAACTTTGTCCTTTACTGTATTGATCTAATCCTAGTTTGTGTTTTAATAATCTGCTCATGCTCAGAGGAGTCAGTGTATGGAAGAAATCATGTGATAAAGGAGCAATACCATCCCTGCCTCCACTTCCTCAAATGACTAATTGCCATGTGTGAAAAACTATTTAAGTTATCACTTTCATTTTATAAAGAGTTAGCTGCTCCTGGCTGCATGCATCCTCCTTGACCTTTGAGGATAGAACAAGAATCAATGGGCTTCAATTGCAGCAAGGAAGGTTTAGATTGGACATTAGGAAAAACTTCCTAAGTCAGGGGGTATGTCTACTCTACAAAGTTAATTTGAAAAAACAGATGTTATTTCAAATTAACTTTAATAGAATCTGCACATACAAACAGCTATTTTGAAATGAATTCAAAATAGTGGAGCACTTATTTTGAATCAGGTAAACCTCATTCTACAAGGAATAACACCAAATTCAGGGTGCCAAACCCCTGGATGACTGCGTCCAGGTCAGTGAGGTGGACGACTGTGTGGAGCAGCTCCCTGTTGATGGCCTTCAGCACCTGCAGAGACACACAAAACCGAGGGTCACTGGGGTGTCCAGGTGGCTGGGAGTGTTCATTCCCCACCACTGCCCCACTCCCCACTCCCAGGAGCAACCCCCGCTGCAATCCTGGCTCCTTCACCTCCTCCCCCATGTTTTCCCTGAAGCACCACTCCAACGGTGGATCTCCCCACACCGAACGTGTTGTCCACAGATCGGAGGGGAATAGTGGGCATCATGCGTGTGTCCGGTCGCCGCAGAGGGGGGGGGAGCCACTAACACAGCTCAAGAAAGGTGTCCTTCTTCATCCTGAAGTTCTGGGTCCACTGTTGGTCTCCCCAGCACTACAGGATGATGTGGTCCCACCAGTTGCTGCTGGTGTCCAGATACCAGATGCGGCGGGGCATGCTGGTGTCTGGGTGTCGCTCCTCCATGGCCCCCAGGGGGGACAGGATGAGCGCAAGGGAGCTGGCCTGCAGCAGAAGATGCCAGGAAGCCTCCAGCAATTGCAGCCAGGCTTGCAGCAAGATGTTCAGCATGAGCACCAGAGTGCCCAGGGGTGGCTCTGGCTCCATAGTGCTGAGTGCTGTGGTGTCTTAAATGAGAGCAACCGAAGCAGGAGGAGAGGAAAACATTTTGCTGTCCCTTGGGGTATGTCTACACTACAGCACTCATTCGAACTAACTTAATTCGAATTAGTTAATTCGAACTAAGCTAATTTGAACTAGTGCATCTAGACCTAAAAACTAGTTCGAATTAGCATTTTGCTAATTTGAACTAGCATGTCCACACTGAGGGTATGTCTACACTACCCCGCTAGTTCGAACTAGCAGGGTAATGTATGCATACCGCATTTGCTAATGAAGCCCGGGATTTGAATTTCCCGGGCTTCATTAGCATAAGCGGGGAGCCGCCATTTTTAAATCCCCGCTGCTTCGAACCCCGTGTAGC